CTGGCGTGGGGGGGGGGTCCCCCTTGGAACCAGGGGAGCTTTTGCAAAGCCTCTCACAAGGTGGCCCCTTCACCCACTACCAAAAATCCACCCCCCTACCCCCCCACAAACCCAACACACTTTGTATTTTCTCATTTTTCTCTTTCTGTAATTTCATGTCTTACACATAAATTACCTGGGATCTTTTTCCATTCTGGATTTGTACAGCTCCTAGCAGGATCCTAGTTCATAACCAGGTCTCATTAATATCACAATAGTGCAGACAAAGACAATGAATCATCAGAGCAGAGTGCCTCTTCCATCATGTTTGCACTGAGAGAAATTCAAGATAATGGTACTCAAGAGGTTTCTGACCACAGCAATCAGATACTCAATGATGGGGACTTCACCAGAGCAAATGATTTCCAGTCCTCCTTTATCTTTATTAAACTTCTTTCCTCTCTTCTCATTCACAGACATTCCTGTCTCATTATTCCACATTCTCCTTTCTCCTCACCAATGCAGCACATATGCTCTAGGGCCCCCAAGCCAAAACACCATAAATGTATTGGTAGTATATTCTCTGAGAGATCATACAGCAAATGTCAGTGTTGATGGCTTTTTTTATTGTTGTTGTTCAGGTTAATCGAAGAGGGGAACCAATTTCTGTCCATAACCGTCCCAGCTGTGTGACCATTGGCATCTGTGCTGCCAATCCCAGTTCACCAATGCCCGATGTAATGCTGGTAGCACACGAGGTGCCCGTGTCCCCACAGGAAAGTACAACAAACTTCTGGCAACTCTCGGAGCAGCCATCCTACACTGAACAGCTAGCACTTACCAGGTCAGTTAGCACCTAGAAGGATTAAATATTTCTTTGAAGAGTAAATAAGAAATTGAATGTATTTCCCATTTCCATATACTGTTTTCCTTCTTGTAAGGGTCAGTTTATTAACAGACTTCATACTTGCACTGACTCTGTCCCAGCACTATCTGCGACAGCACAGTTAGGGAAATCACTTAAGTTTAAGTACATACCTTTAGGTCATCATTTCAGGCCAATGCTACCCATATACATATAGATAGATGATTAGGAATACTTAATAAATATTTTTCTAAATATATCAGAAATAGGAAGATTGTGGGTACAGGATTGTCAGGGAATAAGGTAGTGGAATAAAGGCATTGTAAAGAAGCCCACTTCCCTTGCCTTCATTCTGTGCAGTGCTGCCCAGCAATTCTTCCATAATCAGCTAGAGGCACTCATAAGATGAATGTCCAAATCCACTTGGCAGCTTCTTCTTATTCCAGTTTCTCAATTTTAGTCTTATTCTATCGGTAGGTCTGACAAACACAATATCTTCTTTGAGAAGAATCTCCACTCATGCTTAATGATGAATTTTCCCTTTTTACTAGGTTCTTCCCCCTGAAGCTTGTCGAACTCTCCGTCCACAACACAGATAAGCATCACCTCCTGTTAAAATTAGTAAATGGCCGTTGCTATTATCTAGAGCTCTGTGCCCCATCAGACCAGCGACAACACCTATTCCACCTGTGGCTACAGCTCATCTCTCTCCTGAAACCCCCACAAAATACCAGCAATACTGAAGTCGATGTAAAATGCAAGGATTTTGGCATGCATCACAAGAAAGCTCCCAGTCCAAACAACCCATCAGAAAATGTGAGTCTTTAGCAAATAGATATCAAAAGTTCAAACTGACGAATTAGAAAGTACCACTTGTGTCAATATTCTTTACTATCTCTCAAGTCTAAGTTTCTGTGAGCTTTGAAGGAGTTATAGTTCTGTTTATCAAAGTAGCTGGCTTCTTACAAAGTCCCTACAGAATTTCAGGGCAACGGGAGTGAGGATGCTAGGCATACCATAGCCCTGATAAATTTTTGTGAATCAGTAAATAGCACACTACTTGTTGTTTGGTGTCTAGTTTTCCCTCATAGTTGGGGGTATGTTCTTAAATGGTTCTTTTTGACTGAATTCCACAACCTACTGAAAAAAAAAGCAAAGAAGGAAAGACATGGCACAGCTGAGACCCATGCAGGGACTGACAACTAATAGGCAAAGAGGGTAAAGACATTTGATCCATTTGAAGGACAGAAAGAGGAAGTTCTTGAGGGAAATGCTAAAATGGGCAGCCAGACATGCAGAAGGCAGCTGCTTGCTGTAGCTAAGAGAGAAACAAGGAGAACACTGACGGTCAGCAAAAATGCTTCAGGAGGTCCTAAAGAGAATATCACATACATAAATTTCACTAAAGCACAGAAGGGACCTGTTACCTTAGAGTCACACTTAGGAAAGAACTTGGAGGTTAATGATGCTGCTCAACATTATCTAAAGCTATTTGCCCTAAGTTCCAAGCAAAAAACATTTTGTCAGCACAGGCATTGATGGGTCTTTAGTTCCCACTCAAGCCAACCCAGCTCTCAGCCAAGCAGACGCACATACACAGGGAGAAGAAAAAAAACACAATGACAGGGCCAGTGTTCAGTGCTGCATGTACATCTTTTCTCTGTACTCAGGAGCTCCCATCTTCTACCTGGCCATGCGTAGCAGAGAGAAGAAACAACTCTGTGTAGATACAGCAAAAAAATTGCAAGGGGACTAGAAAAAATATAATTTTGCAGAGAGGAGAGGGACTGGGGGAGATTATTCTTTCAAGAAAAATCAGTGATAAGGTAAAATGATGACTGAAGAAAATCTAGGGGGAAAACTGGCATATTCAGATTAGATTTGCAGAAAGTATTGGACTCAGATTTGGCTGGAAAATCTGAACAACCACATTCCACAAGATCGTCAAGAATGCATAGATGGTTAACAGAAAGTAAGCATAGGTACTATAAAATTTCTTAATTGATGCTTTCCTGCATCAGCTGTCCCTATATGCCCACCTTTCTTCTTGGTTTTCTGCTTTCTCTCTTGTCTGGTGTCAAAGACTAGATCCTTGTACAACCTTCTGGACATAAGCTGGCCTGACATTAATGTCAGCTCCTGTGTGTACAGCAAATGTTACTAGTGATTCAATATGCTAAAATCATGCTCCAGACCTAAAGTCCCTATTTTTCTTTGCAGAATAGATGTCTTATTTTTCCAGTCACAGTGGAAACATTCATCAGTGTTTCAATAGTTTGAGGCTGTCCCTGACTCTTGACTTTTCTACCGACATTATTTAAGTTTAGATTTTCCTTCTCATTATTACATCCTCCCTGCTGTCTTCCTGCTTCGATAGAAAGCTGTGTGCACATGAGAGACTTACAGGTATCCCTGCCTCAGCTACTTGAAAGCAGGAGGCTTAGGAAGGTTTCACTAGGGACCAATCTCAAGATCTGTACAGGGGGGATAGCAAAGATCTTAGTTCAGCTTCTAAATATGAGCAAAAAGAGGAGAATAACCTGGAGATAAAGGAGTTCTGGACGTGCATCAGAAGCACAGAACTTAGAGGCAAAGCCACAAATTGCTCTCAGAGGTTAAGCTTTGGGACCTGTTATGCCTTGATGGACTGCATAGTCACCTCTAGCCAAAGCTGTAGGCCAATAATCACCAACAAACTGATAATGTAGGAGAAACAGCAGTCTCTCTTCTAGAGAAATATATCACATTTCCTGTGGATGGTCTGTCTGACACCACTTTGTTGCAGAATATTCAGTATATATAGGGGACTACTATACAGGAAATTATTTTATCACACATTTCCAGTTGTGCCAATCAGCTCTGTGCAGAGCTCTTTTTTTATGTCACTTGCTACTGTATCTGTTAATCTTTCCTTTTTTTTCCTTCAAGAGGGATGATGCACAAGATATGCCTAACCCCAAAACAGAGAAAGAAGAAATTGCTAAACAAACCTCCTCCAACCAAGTTCCCATCTCAGGTACAGTGAGTCCCACAGAAGAGAGTGGAAGGAAAAGGGAAGCCTCCCACAGCTCCCCAAAACCAACCAGGCAAGAAAACACCACGCAGTCAACGAATACAGATCCTCTGGATATAAAGAAGATCAAAAGCACAGAAAAGAGGAAAACTAGGTAGATATGTTTGGAAAATGAATCTGATATACTTAGTTTCTGATGCTGACTTTGAAAAGTAAGATGTGTCATATTTTTGTCTTCAGAAAATATATTGTTGCAACACTTTTTTAGGGTTACTGTGATTTTCCTAATGTTTTAATGGATTAGGAAGCTGAAGAATACAGGGTGGGGTTTCCAAGTATCCAGACTTAGGCTTCCCAGAGGTTTAGGGGCTTTTGAATGACCATTCCTCCTGCCCACCCCCCTATGCCCTGGCTTCACAAAGATGGGCAGTCAAGCAAAAGTGCATGGATGTTCAATGATTAAGTGCTAGTGGTCCCCTTGAATGCTGAAGGATCTGCATACAGGCAGCTTTGATTCACACGCCCAGTATAAGAGGGAATAATACAGCACAGGGCAGACTCTGTGTTTCCTTTCTGCCCAAAATCAGCAACATGTCATGACACCAGAAATCGGTCTTTTCTGTATATCCTTCACTGCCATCTCCGTCCTGACTTGTGCAGAAAAGGAGCATCTGCATGACAGCAAAGAACATAATCGCTTCTGAAGCTACACCTAAGGCCTAAGTGATGTGTTCGGATGTGTGCTATGTTCAGATGTGTCATGTATAAGTAGAGTCTGTAACATTCAAATATCTCTATGTCTTAGTGTGCCTGCACTTCAAAACAAGGCTTAATACATCATTTAGCAATACATGTTTCGTCTGCAGACAGAAAGAGATTAAAAGAGCATCTATTTAATACTGATCTTGGTATTTAATGACACTAATATGGCAAGACTTTTTCCTGAGTTTGTTGGCAATGGTATAATGGATTTTTCCTGATTTTTTTTTTTTTTTAGGAAAAATACAATGAAGCAAAAAAGTGGAAAAAAGTTACAGACTTCAGGTATGATAGTTTTTCCTATATTTACTCACTTCTCCATTGCCATTCCTACTTCAGTGATCAATGAAACAAGCTGAAACTTCATGAGCTGGGAATTCTTTAGAACAAATATTCCTTTGCCCACATTGCCAATAGATCAACACTTCTATGGCCATGTTATTAGAGAATCACAGAATGGTAAGGGTTGAAAGGGACCTTTGGAGATCATCTAGTCCAACCCCCCTGCCAGAGGAGGTTCACCTAGAGCAGGTTGCACAGGACTGCATCCAGACGGGTTTTTAACACCTCCAGAGAAGGAGACTCCAC